CAGTTTGGGGGTGATATGTTGGCTCTGTAAGTTGCATAGAGAGTGCTGTAAAGCACTATGAAGAAGTATACAAGTAGTCCTCAACTTACATCCATAATTGAGCCCAGAACTTATGTTGCTAAGTGAGAAATTTGTTAACTGAGTTTTGTCCCATTTTACAACTTTTCTTGCCATATTTGTCAAGTGCAGTTGTTAATTAGTCACCCAGATGTTAAATGGATCTGGCTTCCCCATTGCCTTTGCTTGTCAGAAGGTGGCAAAAGGTAATCACATGACCTTGGGACACAGCAGTGGTCATAAATAGGAACCAGTTGCCAAGCATCTGAATTTTGATCATGTGACCATGGGGATGCTGCAAAGGTCGTAACTGTGAAAAACAGTTAAGTCGCTTTTTTCAGTGCCATTGTAACTTTGAATAGTCACTAAATGAACTGTTGTAAGTTGAGGACTACCTGTATAAGTCTAAGTGCTATTGCTATTGCTACCTGAGGAAAACTGAGAGCATAGCTGTCCAGTATGTATGGTAGTGATGGTACTTCTTTTTCAGAGTTGGTCATAAAAAATAGAACAGGTGCAGCTCTGGCTTACTGCCCTGATACTCTGGTCTCAGAACTCAAAGCATTAAGCTGCCAACAAGAAACACATTGACTGTTTTATTATTGGAGAGACTGATGTGATTGATGGTGAGTCAGATGCATCATGGTTGAGAGCACCATCATATCAATGGCATCGTATTTTTGGGATTGAATATCGGGGGGGATCTGAAAGAAGCCCTGAAAACAATACATCATCAGACATAAAAATACATTCATACTGACAGATTAGCCCCAAAACATCAAATTTACTTTCCAATTACATACCTAGATATTTCTATTGGAAATTACTCATACGAATATAGACTTAGCTTTTGACAGTTAGGAAGATTTTTAAAATATAAGGGAAAGATAAGGTTAAAAATTTATAGTGATTATATTCCTTGAGTATCATTATTATTATTTGTCAGATGCCAACACCTGCATACAGATCAAATTAAATAGTACAAGTTCTATTTACATTTCAGAATATTTAAAAGTGTCACCATTTGCTTATATATCATAGTTTGTAATAGGCACTGAAGCATCTTCTATATCTCAGAGTAATGAAAAGTGTTTAAGCACAAGTGTTTAGAGACTAAATTGTCACAAAAAGTTATATTATTCTTGTTTCAGTGGTAGAGGTATATTCATATGGCTTTTACATCAGGCCTACCTTTATATTCTCTCTGCTATCTAAATTCCTTCAACTAAATATTGAATGACAGTAACTCTTACATACCATATGCTTCGTGTAAACTTTTACTATTACAATTTATTTGACAGATAGAAGATTACAGTTAAATCCTGTTCATTGAGTAAATTACCAGTTTGCTTCTGGATGGATTTAGCAACAAAAAGCTTTTTGTGTTTTAGTCCAAGGATTTGAAGAAAAATAAAAAGCCCAAAGATCTCATCATATGTAATTATAAGAGTGAATAAATAAGTTCACTGTGTCACTGAGATTCAATGGACTCTTTAGGAAGTGGGTGTTTTGTTATTTTATATCCTTAAATGTAGGAAACCAGAAACCTTGCTATGAATTGTTAATGCCTCAAACAGGCTTCAAGAGGTCTAGAATAAATTTTCAGCACAGTAGGATATAAGTTGCTGTTCTCTATCACAATGTCAAGAGCTCTATTTGCTTGTCATACAGCGAACATAGCTGCAAAAAATGGGCATGAGGCATAACACAAAATAATACAAACATGCTTGAAATATCTGAAAACTTTCATGGAAAACTTAAAAAGGTAATTATAAGTGTAACAACATGGATATCATATGTCTGCAAATAAAAACAGAACTCCAAGTCTGCCTCTCACAAAATCTCCCATTTGATTCATGGTCTTGGATTCTTATCTTCAACATGCATCATAATCATAACTTCTAAGGGACATAGCAGCCAAAAATGAGGACTAAAATCAACAATAAAAATACCTAGCCATGAATGCATTTGCCAAAATAAGTGTTGCTTGCTCCATATATTTAAATTATAATCATAAAAATATGTATGTCAATTAGTATCTAATCTCTAGACATTCCATACAATTATAATATCAAAAAAGTCACATGAACTGGTTCAAGACAGGAATGAAGTCCATAATATATATTGATCTACATACTTTTATAGCAGTAATCACTACTATAGTTTCTGATTTTTCTTGTTTACACCGATATTCCCAGTATATGATGAACTCCTTCATTAAGGATTTAAATATGTAGAAAGGAAACACTTTTTGCTTTATATGTACATTGCACTTCTTAGAAAGGTATATTATAGTTCCTGAGAATTATTTTGGAAGAATATACTTTAAGATTGTGCTAATTAGAAACATTTAATGCAAAATAAAATTATACTCTTTTTTTACTATGACTAAACATAAAAGTTAATGTAGCACAAAATATCTTGATTATAATGATTATCTTTGAAAAAAATTAAAGGAATGGAAGGATGATGTAACAGTCACAGGAAAACTGACATTAGCAAAGCTACAGACCAGCTTATGCTGACATTATTTATTAAAGCCTACAAAATTAGTTGGTGATATGTTTTAATTGTACAGTTCAGAGCTGTGGAAGTTTTACAAATTAGGTTTATAATCCTCAGATAACAGCATGTAATATCAAAACTACAAATCCCAGAATGTATTAATTAATATGCTGAACACTGTGCATCACAGAAACTGAGAAAGTTGATACAAAAGTGAGAGAAAGAATGGTAGCACTGCCACAGAAAATGTGGTCAGAAATAACATCCAGCAATGGCTAACAGCCACAAGGAACTGAGTGTTCATTGGATAGTGCTAACTATTATATTTCAGTTTCCAAAAATCAATAGACCCTTCCTTCCCTCTCACCATTGCTTACACTAAAGTGGCTTTACCTATATGAAGTGGACAACTTAAATACTTGTGTGTGCTTTATAGACTAGTCAGAAACTTCAATTGGTTCAAAATGCAACAGCCCAGGCCTGAGCTGCAGGTCCTACATTGGCTTATCATAAGCTCTATGTGCAATTTAGAGTACAGGTTTTGGCATAGAAGCCCTGTATGGTACAGCACACTTAATGTATTTTCAAGACAGCCTTCTATATGAAAAAAAAAAAGGATGACCTGATAAGATTTGGGGAAAAATTGCTTCCTCAAAAATTACCATGAAGTTGGAAAAACTGAAGCCATATGGAAGAACTTCTTTATGATGATCCCTATTTTATGAACCAACCTTTCCCAAGAAACTATATTAGCCTTAGCAGTTTTCGAGTGTTAGGGTGGAACTTGCCTCACTCACCCCATATGCCTTGCCTGGCCAGTGGGCTGCTTCCACTTCTTTTTTCTTCTGCTTTTGGCTGCATGCAAGGAAAGCAGCAAAAGTCTTTCTTTCTCTCCCCCAAACTCCACCAGAAATGAGTCTTTGGGACCCTGCAAGGCATCCTGCTCCAAGAGGCTAGCCAGCACAACAAATCTCACAAAGACTCATTTCTGGCAGAGTTTGGGGGAGAGAAAGAAAGACTTCTGCTTCTGCTGCTTTCCTTGCATGAAGCCAAAAGTCTCTCTCTCTTTCTCTGTCCCCCTGAGAACAGAGGTGGAGACTCCTGTAATCCCAAATAAAGAATGATTGATCGGTAGGAAAACAGGGTGGGGAATTTTCCTGCAGACTTTTGGGGGGATTTTCTCAGGGTCTCTGATCCACAGGATTTAAAATTACGAGTTTGGTGGTCCCTGAGATCCAAAATGTTGGCGACCCTGTTCTAGAGAGCTTTTTTTAATTACCTGACAGAATGTCATAGGAATGTTTCAATTGTTTCAATTAGATTGGTTTTAATTTTTCTGTCATAATGGCATTTTATTAAATTCATAATTGTTTTGGATATGGCTTAGATTCATATGATTGTGGCAGCTTAGAAATCTAATAAATACATAAAATGAAATCCTTCTTTATCAGTTTATAAAATATGGGGCAGACCTTGTCGCTGTTAGGTCTATTCACAGCTGAATCTACGATAAACTGAACAACATACCTCACAAGTCTTGAGTGGCCTCTTGTCATAAATCCCATGCTCATTTTAAAATTATTTGGACAAAAAACATAAAGGAAATATTTACCAGATTACAACTATAGTTAACAAATTGTTAAGAAATACAAGGAAGAATATAAGTTGAAACACTATCCTGAAACCAATAACATGAAATTCAAAGGTAAATATAATCTACTTCAATAAGATACAAAAAAAATATTAAGGTATTCAGCAGGTTCTGACCAGTTCTCGAGAACTGATAGCAGAAATTTTGAGTAGTTCAAGAGGACTGGCAAATACCACCTCTGACTGGAGATTTTACAGTATCCTTCCCCTGCCATGCCCACCAAGCCATGCCCACAGAACCGGTAGTAAAAACTTTTGATTTCCATCACTGGATATAAGACTCATAGTTGAGTATGATCTATTAATGTCATGTAGCTGATAAAAAATGAAGTGAATCAAGGTTGACTTAGCCTTCCATCCTTCTGAGGTCAGTAAAGTGAGGACCCAGATTGTTGGGGGCAATATACTGATTCTGTAAATCACTTAGAGAGGTCTGTAAAGCACTGTGAAGCTGTGTATAACTCTAAGTGCTATTGCTACTGCTATTAGTCTGGACTAATAGAAAAATAATATTCAGATTATAAGAGGTAATAATTTCAATGTATTCTGTGTCAGGCCACATATAAAGTGAGAGATATTTAAGAAGTGGAGAAATCAGGTTGCATCTTATGCTGCAGACATCTTCAAGCTCTATAATTCTAATTGAATTCACAACATGGATTCATTGCATTGCATTGTGTATTGATTTACAAAATGGCCATGTAGAATTGGTATATCAGTTTACCTACTGTTCGCTCAGAGAAGCAGAGATATCAGAAGACACACTTGCAGAAAGATAACCATCTTACCTGATAGTATCTGGATATAGCTGATTTTCAAAAAACAAGGGAGGAGTCTTTAGAACACTGGCTGAATTCTGCAAAAGTGGCTTTTCTTCTTGGCTCTAAGAAAACCATAGGATAAGGAATGAATCAGGGGCTAACTCTCATCTCATTAATGTTGAAATCTAAATATTGAAATCCTTACTTTGAATTTTAACTTTCCACACAATTTTATGTCTATTATGTCTCTCATTATATCACTACATCTTGATGCACTGAAATGGCAAACTCAAGTTTCAAACATTCAGTTGATATTAGATGATTAGTCACTTAGAGGCTTAGAATTTTACACAGATCTGGGAAGTTAAAATGTTTCATTAGAAGAAGTGAAATGATTACTGCTTTTGTGTCAAGTTAAGGAGGCAGAGTCTGCATTCAATACTTTATCAAACTCTGACATCCCAATCTTGTTTTCAGCTGATAAATGTAAAAGTTATTCTGAAAGTGAAAATAAAGACACCTAAATACCTGCAAGTTTATTGTTTCCTCAGACCACCAAGCTTCAAAATCTTTTTGTAACTTCAGTTTTGCTTTTTCCATGAGGAGCTGCAAGTGTTCAATCTCTATCTTCAGCCCTTTCAAGTGAGTAAACATTGTTTTATAACTGCAAAATGGAAAATAAAAGGTTATTACAGGAGATGCAAAAATATGTTGCAACTAAAAGGCTGTTATGTAGAACTGAACATCTCTCACCATTTGCTACCTGCTCACACATTGCAAGTTGGGAAATTGATTTATTCCTTGTTGGATATTTCTCTCTTGTTTATTCTTTATTTGTAAAAAAATTTAAAGTCAGTTAAACTTATCATGTAGGATATGAATAGAAAATGCTTTCCCCAAATATTAGCAACTTACTCATCTGTCAAATAAATGCCCATCAAAGAGTCCAAACTCTCACTGAATAAATGTTGATGAATTACACTCTTAGAGAGTAGGAACTTGCCAAGTCTATTCTCAGAAAGGACTCAGAATTCAAGCTTATTCGGTTCTATAGAAGTGCTTGCCTGATTATGATCTCCTCTATCGTTTTTTGATTTTTGTCTCACCCTACTGCTTTGGATTTTCTCATCTGCTCTGACCCTGAACTACTTTTGGTCTTTGCCTTTAGAACAATGTTCAGCTGTTCTCTTGCCAGCTTCCACTATTTTTGTGCTCCGGTTTAGCAGAAAACCCAAAGCAACCAGTTGGCACCAAGGTTTGGGGAGACTCTCTTTGAAAAGGGACTTTAGCTAATTATGGGATGAGTACATTTAATATCTTTTTTCAATGGATTGACAATCTAGCCAAATCTATGTTTTCCTATTGCTGAAATATGGTCCATGTATAGACAGGAATTAAGCTAACAATAGATTATAGTATATAAAATGTACACGTTGTTATTCAGCAACCTACTGTATACAAGAAACATGTTATTTAAGTTTTTAACATATAATAGGTAAAAGAACCTTATTTTCTTCTGTTCAATTTGTGTTCGAAGTGCCTCTTCTACTGGATCATGCTGATTCATTTCTCGAGGACTGATTAGAGCTGCAAGTTATAATCACTCAGTGTTAGCAATTATATAAATAAAGGCAAAGGACACAGTTTAAGTTATGGAATTCTCTCTCCCCCGCTTCCTTAAAAAGAAATGGTATAAAAAGCACAGAGTGATGCATAGAATACTCTTTTCCAGTTTTCTTCCCACAACCAGCCTATGAAATAGACTGAGACAAAATGTGGCCCCAGGTCATTCACTGAACTTCCATGGCTGATGATGGACTTGTATCGGTCTCCCCTTTTTTCAATAGAAAATACATTATATAATATTAATTCTATAAGGATTATTTGTTCCAATTCATCTCTTAATATTCTACTCTTACTTGTCTTCAACAAAATTATTTTCCTTTTAATATTACTCTTTTGCATTTCTCCCAGTGATGCTGCTGAGAAAATACCTGGGATTTCCTTTACTATGTGCTTTATTTCCTTTACAGTAAAATTTTCTTCCATCCTTCCTGTTCTTGGCAAAGACATACAAAGTTGATGAAGTGAAGATATTGAATTAATAATTCATAAATGTATAGAAATATTTTCTTAGTAAACAGAAGAAATGTCATCTTTTAATAAACTATTTTATTTATTTATTATATTTATATCCCCTTTAATGCCTTTTGAACTATAACTGGTATGGAAGCCAAATACATTTCATGTTTAAATGTGTAAATTGTAAAAAGGTTGATAGCTTCAGAAGAAAGATCAGTAATGCCCTCAAAATGCACTGTAGAATTTATTATGAATATTCTCTGACAATCTATTGTTATTAATATAATTTACTTTTCGGTGCCTCTCTGGACTGAATAAAATTTCAAATTTATCTCCTGCTTATAATTCCCTATTTAATGAAACATGCAATGACCTAGCTATTAACATGCTAAGCTTAAACCATGACTAGCTAACCATAATGGTTGGCATGAAATATGTGGTAAGCCAAAACTAAAAAACTATACTATGGTTTAGTTAGTACATCAACCCAATTCATTCTTCTTCTTTTACAACTGCCAGGGTTGGTCATCCTGAAATCTAGTGCTTTTCATCTATAAGTAGAACTGAAGCTGACAATCAACTGTTAGTTTCTTAGCTGGTCCCAGCTCCAAACATTGATTGATTCGTACTAAACCTACAAGAAGTAAATTACAAGAAGAAATTTTGCATGTAAAGCTTTATTGGTTTATTGTAAACCTACCATGGTTCCTACTCTAGTATGTATTGGGTTTCTCTCTGATACTTTATTTTTAAAAATAATTCTCAATATCCAACTGATATTTGGATGACCGTTAGTTATCTGTTTTTATTGTTTCTATATTTTCTACAATATTTTCCCCTACTAATTTCCTAATTTCTAGAATCCCAAATTAATTTTAACAGGGCAATCCAGTACATTTGTTCAAATGTTGGCTACACTGGTAATGATGTACATTAATGATGTTCAAATGTTGGCTACACTGGTAATGATGTACAGTGTGTCATGGATCATGACACACTGTGACTTTTTTGCCTTTGTGGAGCTGGGATGGGCGTGACCTGTGCATGATGTTTCCGGCCCATGGGCCGCCAGTTTGACAGGCCTGATATACAACCTTAACATATTTTAATGAAATTTACTCACAGATATTCAGTAAACCCTTAATATTTAATTTACTAAAAAAAAGTTGCAGCATTGAAATACACAAACACATAGTTGCATATGCATGTGCACCAACAGACACATGCGCTTGTAATTCTTATGGATTTTCTCTGATAGGCATAAATTTGCTGATTTCTGTGGAAATCTTTCTTAATATCTCCCCACTCCATTAAATAGTAGTGGATCACTGTATGGTAGTACCCACTTCCACTTTTTTCTTTCAGGAAAGTGATTGACAATTCCCTTTTGGAGCTGGGAATGAAACTCTTATCTCAAATGACTGGGAAAATGATGGGACTTCAGCTATTAAAATAATAATAATAAATAATAATAAAATAATAAATAAAGAGCATTTTTAAAAGCTTCACAAAATAATACTGACTATGGTATAGTTTTGCAATAGAAAAGATAAAAAGAAGCTCTGAAAATATTAGAAATAATGGTGAGCTCAGTTGGAAGGTCTTTCCTGCGTCTGCCAAATAGCCATTGAAGTGTTGCAGCTAGCTTTTAAGAAAGTAAAATGCTCCAGTGCAAATGGACAAGCAGAGGTAAATTAAGGTAACATAAAAATAAGTGTCTGTTTTCAGATTTAAAAGGAAAATGTATATGGAAGTTGGATTCATGTTGAGAGGGAGGAGAATAAAGGCTGGCATCCATTTCTGACTTCAAAAAGTGGTTCCTGTCCCATACTGGCAGTAGATCAACCAGACAGTATGGCTCAGCTTATAGTCATCAGGCACTCACTTTTCTTCTCACTTTCAAATAGCAGGATTACAGAGAATGGGGGGGGGGAGGTATCCAGAATCCAGACAAATCACATTTTTAAAAAAATCAGGACAAATTACTTGTTCCTAACATAAGTGATGTAACAGACATTAATCTTATTTGTAAAACTTCATTATATAATTGAAAACAGTTCAAATTTAAAATACACAAATCCATGTATGCACACGCGCACACACACACAAAAGGTGACAGATAAAAGCAGCTATTCTGACCCGGAGGAAATGAACCACTTCTAGGTACAGCCCTTATAAAGCATTTCAGCTGATTAAAAATATTTAAAAGGCATTTGTATGTGTTTATATTTGTCAGATGGTTTCTTATGGAGGAGGTAAGATTTGAAGGTTAAAACCTGACAAATTCCAATAAATCATATTTGGACAACATCTATCTGCTTTTGCTGTAAGCAAAACCATATGCCATTTTATCTATCAATGTGTATAGCCAGGTTGATGTGGTTAGATTAGAACTGTGAAGACCTACTGTACATTCAAGTCATGCTTCAGACAGGGAAGCTACGTGCTTCTGTTGCTGGTGTTCCTAAGCTAACTCACTTCAAGCTACTCCATGTTTATGGAGAAAGGCTAGGAAGGTGTGCCAAGTATACTGTGTGAGTTCCTGGAAGAAAGGCACCAATTTTAAAAGAAAAAGATATTTTTTTTTAAAAAAAGCCAAAAGTTCAAGAGACAAACATATCTCAGTCTGGAATATTAAACAAAATTTAGACTCAAGTGTCCACTCAGCATCTGCTAAGAGACCTTTGTAGGTGTCAACAGTAATACAATAAATACAGTTTAAGAAAGCCTTTTCTGTTTGTCATCTACCCTCAGACTCACTCCAACCTTGCAGGCTTTTAAGACCTGCTTTTGCAGTTGTGATGGTGTTGGCTATGGGAAGATTTTTAGTGCTGTTGTAGATCAGTTGCTCAGCTGCTATTCATGTTATTTGTAATTTATTTCTTGATTTTAATTAGTTAGTTGCTAAGTGTCATGTACTTGAGGAAGAAATCAATATAGATGAAATATGTAAATTTATCAGTAGTTTATCAAATATTCACAACTGATAGTCTGATCTGGGGCAAGCATATCAACTTCTCAGATATTTTTTCAGGACTAAAGGCCTATATTTACTTTATATGTTATTTTTTACTACATTATTACAACTAGAAAATGAAAAAGGAAAGCAAGCTTAACAGTATTAGAAATTCTTCTGGAAGACATTTCAATAAACTACGGACATTGTTACACTGTGAAATCTTTGCAAAAGGTACTGGGAATCAGTAATATAAGTAAAAATGAGGAACCCTTTGCTTCTAGATTCAAAATAACACTATGCTAACAAGACAGAACTGAAAACATACTTGTTGGCAAACAAGGTTCTTTTTATGCTTCTTACTTTATTTTTGTGTAATAGAGCTGTTTTGTTCCTATTGTTATGCTTTATATACCATAAAGTTTGATTTCATGCTAACAACATATTGTTTTTCTGAATTGCCCCACACTAGTTTTCAAGCATTTTCTAAAAGTCTTTCAAATGACTTTGTTTGTCTTCCATATGAATATTTTTTTCAAAGGAATTAGTCTTTGTTCCTTCTTCTTTCAAGATGATTAAAAAAGCCCCATTAGTACAACGATCTTGCATCTGGTTGAAACAGTGTCTTTCCCAAAACCTTTCAAAGAGTTAAAAAACAAGAATGAATAGTTTTGAGACATTTTTATGGGCATGTGTGTGAAAAAGTCACATTTGGAAAGTGCCTAACTTTCCCTGCATCAGGAACATTTTGTATAAACCTAAGATATACAAGTCCATAGTATATAAGATTCTTAAGTTGTTTTCTGTTCTGCTTTTCATTTATGCCGAATAAAAAACCCCCACAACATAGTTATTAGATTTTATCACAACTATTTTTCAAGGACTACAGCAGCAACATTCTTAGAACTTGGCCAATCACCAGCTCAAAAGGATATTTATTTAGAGAATACTATGCCAGTAAAATAACATTAACCTCACCAAATTTCAACTTCAATAGTATTATAAATCAGACCTGCTGAACCTAAGATCTGCAGCATTTTTGCTGGGGCCCTGTTCAATCTCTTTGTGATCCTACAAGAACACTATTTGTTCATGGTCCTTCCCTACATCTTTACAGAAACATCTTGAGGTTTACCCAGCCACTTAAATATACAATGTGAATGGGAGAAGGCTCAGATTACTATATTTTTTTTCTAAACTGAGACATGTGTAATGGAGTTGGTACCAGTTTTCCAACCTCTTTCACATTCTAATCATCGCTCCAGACTTAAACTAAATAATAAATTAAATACATATATAAGTTAGTTACAGAAACAGAAATTGAAAAGAAACAGAACAGTAGTGGGGAAAGAGACAGGAAAAACAATGGAGGCTCAGAGAGATATATGGGTAGAAAGCAATGAGAAAGAGAGAGACGGAGGGAGAGGGAAGATACAACCACCTAATTTAAACAATAGATGACACAATAAACCAATGTTTGGACATTACTACATCAGATTGTTGGTAGAATTTAGAAGGGGGGGGAAGGAAGAAGTGATAAGTGGTTGATAACAAAAAGAAAAAAAAAAGAAAAGGGAAAGGAAGGGCATAAAATGAAGACTGGGAAAGAATGTATCAAAGATGCCAAGAAAAAATAGAATAAATTGGAAAGGAAACATTTCAGCTAAAATTATAACAAACAACAAATTACTGAAATTATGACAAATGCAAAAATTAATATAGTGAGACTGACATTTTGAACTGCTAAAAATTTAAAAACGACTCCGTAATGTGCATTGCTTACCTCAGCTATATGGAACGTTCATGGGCTTGAGAGATATAATCATTTTTAATCTAAATTTACAGTGAAGCTATGTTTTTTGAATAAACATACAGTCATGTGTCTTGTTTAGACACTACTCAAGACTGAACTTTTAAACATAAATATTCATGTATGAGAAATGATTGTAGTTGATATGTTTATATATCTACACCAGCCATCGGAATTTATCTGCAATTACATCAGAAGTGGCCCATGAAACTGGTAAATCTATTAAAATGCACAGTATCTGCGTTACCTATAAAGTATGCAATTTGTACATGTATATCATTTAAGATTAAATCAATTCTTCTTTATTGAAAGATGCCATATTACAACTTGATAATATAATTACAGGAAGGAATTTTAACCATCTTTGTTTCCTCAAAGTATCTATTCATTGGATCCAAAGCAATATCTCCAATGACAGTCAAGTGGGGAAGCCTTGCCATATACTTAGCAATGGCTAAGGCAGCCATAATTTTCTCTGAAACTTGACATGAGCTACAAAAAGTAGAGCTATATATATATATATAATTCAGAAAAATCATTCATCTTTACTTTGTCTTTATAATTAATTTGTTTTATATTTTAAATTTATTGAAAATTTCCACTAACAAGCAGAATTTTAATAAATATTCTAATGTACATAATAGTCTTTCCCAACCTGATGCCTTCAAATATGATGCAAATTTAACTTCTAAAAAGCCTGCCATTCTGGCTGTAACTTCTGGGAACTGCAGTCTCAAGACATGTGAAAAATGCCAGGTTGAAGCCAATAGCTGTAAAACATCAGTGTGAACACTATATTGATAGACATGAATACTGACTAGAAGTATGCTATTACTAACTAAAGCCATTAACATATTTGTTAATTTAGCTTCTCATTGACCTTGTCCCAAAATATCAGTTTTCTCAGACCTATTCCACTAAATCAAAATTATTGGGTAACATATTTAATTATATTGTAAGCTGCCCAGAGTCCCTGCAAACTGAAAAATGGATGGCATATAAATTTAATAATTAATAATTATTATAATTAATTAATAATAATTAATTAATAATTATAATTATTAATTATAATTAATTAACAGTTACTTTCATATATTTAATTGAAGCACATAATTATTACAATTGTTTTTACAGGATCGATGAACATATTGCTCCCCACCCCCGCCCCTGGCTCATGAATTAATATGTTCAACTCAACTTTAATACACAAGCAATTATTTTAATGAAGAAAATTTATTTTCTATGCCTTTTAATTTTTCCTTGCATCACTGTTTTTACAGATTTCCTGCCAATAAGCTCATTTGCTATGGCACTGAAGAAATATGAAGCTTTTAAGATTTAAATCAGTCAGAATAAATTCTTTTTTTCCCTAAGGCAAAATATTCATGGAATGTTTTGAGGTGCATATTCAGATATGTTACCAAAATCTTGTTCCAGAATTAATGGAAAATCTATGTTCGTAACAAACATCATCTGAACAACCTATTTTTTCAATCTCAGAATTCCAAGAGTAACTCTTAAGAATAAATAATGCCAATTGCTTTATTCTACGCTTATAGAAATATTGGATTTCCCCCCCTTTTTATATAGGATGAATGCTCTAACACGCCTCTAGGAGTCACTATTGAAAGTGATGATAAAAAATAGCTGTAGATATTTAGCTAACACAGACAAATGTGGATTGTTATTATTTCAATTTCAAACACAAATATTCAGAAACATGTACTATAGCACTGAAATGAAATTAACTATGAAATACTGAGATAAATCCAACTCATATTCAATCTTCACATGCACCACCATCACTACTTCGCCTATTGTTGGCCTTCCCCATATTGCTGCTCCAAAGTAACTTCCCCTTGGCCTCTGAGTTGCAATTGTTGTCATCCACAACAATTTTTTGGAAACTTTCCTTTGGTAACTGATAGAATTGTAGTTTGTTCTTAGCCCTTCAAATGGCTGGGAATGGGACCACAATACTTTTTATTCTGTATTCTGAGTAGGAGTAGATATAGAATAATATTCTTCAGGAATATGTTACTAGGAAATACTAATCATTTATCTAACCATCAGTCATCTGGCATGCAGAGATGGCATGAGAAGAATCTTGAGATAAAGCATCTTTCTAAAAAACAGAAAGGGCTGAATATTGTTAAATGAGAATTCTGCATCCTAAGGATATCCCACTGAGAAAAAAGATTGCTATTATTCAAAATGTTTATAATTTGTCTCCATCAAGAAAGGCACTTCAATTAAAAAAAAGGTAGCTAACAACATTAACACCCCCCAAGGAAACATTATCTTGAATTTTATCCTGGGGTTTTAAAATATAGTTATGTTTACTAAAAACAGCTTATTTCATTATTATGTCATACTTTTATAGTTATCAGGAAAAATCAGAAGAATAGACACCTGATTTCATTTCCCAGAGCACATTAAACAAATAACCATACTTAAATCACACAATAGTGTTACAATAAATTTAAAAGGATAAATGAGCTTAAAAAAACAATTTTGGAAGATGCAAAATTAGCAAAACAACTACATGTCTGGTGTTAACATATGAAACTGTGATCTCCCATTGATAATATAATGTATGAAGGATATATAAAGGAAGTTTACCAAACTATACTAATGGCATATAAATTATTATACAGTCAATATCTGCTCAAAATTGCCAATTATGTATGATCCTGAAACAGACTACTTAACATTTATTCCATGTAGTATTTCCCACATCAGTTTCAGAGAAGAATGAGAATCATAAACATTTGAAAAGGCTCCATGTATTTAAAAGGATGCTTGCAAATATTTGATTCCATTTGCTTTTTTTATCTGCTCTCATAGATTGTAGTGTTACAGTTCATTCTAGGATAATGTTTAACAAAAACAAACCTAGGCATAAATCAGCATTATCCAAATGGCCTCAGATGATTAAGTGCATAACTTGTGGTAAAGAGTAACCCTAGTGAAATTTAAATAGCTAAATCTGCTGCTGCTGCTAATGTGAGTATTGTGGGACATTTGTCTACAATGAAGGAAGAAGATCTGAAAATTTTGTTGCATGAACTATAACAATATGAAAGAAACCCTTCCCCCCACCAAAAGATTAACACCATGTGAACTTCTACAAACAAATACCATTGGGGAAAACACTTTAACCTGGAATATTATACATACCTTGTGCTGCCTTTTGCATGTGCCGCTGGATTATCTCTTCTTTCAGATGATCTGTGCAAAAAACAGAATCCAAATCACTTAAAGAATTTTCAGACTCAGATTTCAATTTTTAAATAATAACTTTGCATACTTTTTGCAATATTCCCATTTACTCTCATACTTTGCATATTCCCTTACATTGACCCAACAGATTACTAATAAAAATATTCCTCTCTTTACTTTGACACTAATATCTTTAGAGACATTGGTACATATTTTGAAAATAAATACTCCATGAGAATGGCAACAGTGGTGTTCCTTAATCTCTCTCCCTCTCTCTCTCTCTCTCTCTCTCTCATACTACTCTCAAATAATAACATATTCTTTTATATATATATTATTCAAGATTTACAAAACACATAACAAATAAAGAAAAAAAATAAGAAAAAAGCAAAATGTGCAGAAAGAATAAAAAAATTGAAAGTTTATTTCTTTTGCAAGAAATATAACTACAGTTACAAAATTATCTCTCACTCAAAACTACTATCATATCTCACTCAAATTACTATGATTACAAAAAAGCTCATTTTTTTCTATTATCCATTTATTGTTTTTTTAGTCATCAAACCACAAATCATAAGTGGATTTTTTTCTGTTTCATGCAAAAGGTCTATACAGGTTTTCCAGACAATCATAAATGTATTTCTTTTTTCTAATGAAAGAAGTTGATTTAACTGTTTTGGAAAATTCTATCATCTTCCCCAACCATTCCTTTATTGCAGATAGTGAGAATCTTTCCACGTCTGAGCATAATAGTCTTGCTGCAGTTTTCATAAATAAAAGCAGAGTTCTATTACCTTTTTTATAGCTGCTTATCCATTACTAAATAATAGAATATTCCAAAATCTACTATAACGTGTAGTATCCGCTCCTTTTAATCTGAAATGCTTGGGACTCAATCTTTTCTACCAGTAAGCTATAATGCATCCCCTCATTTGAGTGGTAGTCCCTTCTCCAGAATTTTGCCTAGCTGTAAATTTGCTAGCAATATATACTTAAGAAGCATATAATGTCTATGCAAAGAATCTTATCTTCTGCTTTTCTTTTGACCATGCAATAGTTCCTATACACATTTTTCCTTATATCAGACATTTATAAGGAATAAACTTTTGATAAACACCATCTAAAGTAGTTAATAATTGAATAAATTATTTTTATATTGATCACAACTTTTTTTAACAAATCTTTTTTTTAATAAAAAAAATAAAAAGAGCATTTCTTTAGGAACAGATAAAATTCAGACCCAAGCCAGTTTGCTTGTAATACAGAACAGCTTTCATACTTATATTCTACATTGGATTATAGCTGTAAGAGAAAAAGATATACCAATATAAGTGTTGAAATCATCTTGATAATTTCATTGTAAACAATGTTTTTGTTAGTGCTAGAAGATTCATGCTAAATCCTAGCTTCCTGGGCAACATATATGGTAAATGTGAGAGCGCAAAAGATTCCAGAATAATTATGGCTATTCTCATGGAAAAAAATGTGTTGGCTAAAATATATGTCTTTATTCTATGTGTTACATGAAGATGAATAATGTACACATGAGAACGATTTCATGAGAACTTATTCATCAAGGAAAAAGAGGCCAAAAGTAGGCCAAAATAAGAAAATTCTTTTCCATAGGGATCCATGAAAGGGAGGAGCAAATGAGAAAACATGATGTTATGATTCTCTTGCAATACACATACGGGGGCAAATATGTGCACTTTATCATTTTGACATAATCTCATTTGCTATAGATATATAAGTGTACTTTCCCCCATAAAATAGGGAATAGCCACTACTTTGTAACATGAAATTATGTCTGAAATAGAATCATTAATAACTACTATTTAGACTATTCAGAAATTTAGAAATAAACTATTTTATTTACTATTACTATTTAGAAATAAACACAGATATTGCAAACATAGTTTTAAAGCATGGAAGGGTAAAAATAGTAATAAAACTTTTTAAAAAAATATGTAATTGCCACATGTAATTTTGCAAGATGTCCAGCTGGAAATTGAAGACTGGAAACTATAACTGATAAGAATTATCTAGCATATATTTAAAAAATGTTGTGTATGAGTATGTTTTAATATAGTTATCTCATAAAATTAAATCTAAAATTAGACCCAGATCCCAAATGCAATGCTTTATAATGGGGACTTAAAATATCAAAGGTGAATACCAGAGAGCTGCAACAAATTTATGAATAACTTTGATTTCATTATGAATTAAACAAGGTAATTGATTACAAATATGCAGTGAGATTAGGTAGAAAACTATTACTAACAATATCTGGCAATCATCTTGATTCAAATTTGTCCCCCACAATAATACTGATGTCTGAAAGTAGATTCTATTCTGATTAATTCCACTAACACATTTGCTGACAGAAGTACAGTATATGCATTTAGTATTGCAGTTGGGCTTTTCTATCATGCAATTTTTAATGACTTTATAAAACCTTTTCTATGATTATATATTCCCTGAATGAAATGGAGAAATGGAGCATGGAAATATACTGGCGTTTAATTTTGTATAACAATTTCAATTTGTGCCACTTCAAATATGTCAAATTCTATCACTTGCTGGCAACATATTTTATAAAGGAGTGTACAAAACATGTCAAGGTTGAAACACCTCTAAAACAGCCAGTTCCAACCATGGAACTGAATGTTTCAATATCAATGGAAGTAATGATGTCATCTTCTTTGATGACAGAAGAGCTTTTTCTAACCTTACCTTTTCAAAAGTACACTGACCTGAGCCATTCTGACCTTAATTTGGTGGTTTGAATGCTTTTGTTTTTGAGGTCAGAACATAACTGATAAAGTTAGAACAAACTGTTCTAATGTTGAAACAGTTTTAGTGAGATTGGACTGGAATGTTTCAAAATCAAGGTATTTCAAACTTGAAGGTTTGAAAGTTTTGAACATCTTGTAGAGCTCAATGAATGTTAATACAAAAACCTCCTTCATTAAAATTATCAGATACGTTCAGAAATTTTAGTGTTAGAACTGAGAAGTACTGGTGGAAATGTATTGTCCACTTCATAGAATTCTTAGCATCATAGAATCACAAGAGATCTGAGAGGTGAAGTCCAACAATAGCAAATTCACTACACCGTACCCAATAGCTGAGTATCCAGCCTCTGTTTGAAAACCTCCAGTAAAGGGGAAGAAGTGGTTCTTTGCAGTCATCTATTCCATTGATTGTCTGTTTTTACTGTCAAGAAGTTCTTCCAAATTATCTAATCTATATAAACATCCTTGATGTTCCATCCCATTAGTTCTAGTCTTACCCTCTGGAGCAAATGAGAATAAGTCCAAACCCCCTGAAATATGATAGCCCTTCAGATATTTAAACAACCTTATCAATCTTCTCTTCCGCAAGCTATATATACCTACTTTTTTAACAGTTCCTCATAGAATTTGTTATTACAGTGTATTCTTCTACAGAATATCCTCAAGAGGCTCACTGATCTTGAAGGAGTGTTAGATGGGAGTAGTAGCAATTTTGTGAATAAGCTAGAAAGAATTCCTGTCACCACCAAGTTTTAATGTAACAGATGTTCTTAGGTAAACTTTATTGAAATTAAGTATTTGAAAAAGATACAAAATAGTGAAGGTAGTGGAAAGAGTATGATGATAATAGCAGCTTTCTTTACAAAAATTATTTATAAATGACTGAGTATGTCTCTTCTATACCTTTAATATTGCATAGAATTATATAAATAAAGCAGATGTTTAATAGCAAACATTAAAAAACCCCATATACTCTGATTCATATTCTTTGTTTTTAGTTCTAGCTCAATTAAGAACAAAGAGCTGGCTAAATTAATGTTTCATCTACATTTAGGATTTTGAAATGTTTAGAAAACAGTTGATTTGAGAACATTTTTAAAACATGTAATAAATATGGCTCTTAAAAAACAGCCTGCTTATATTGGCTCTCCAGTAATTGGAGATTTAATTAACTGGTACATCGCATCCAAAAGGCATATTGATGCAATTAGAGCCCAGCTGAAGATTTGCAAAACAATTGCAAGCTTTTGTGTCTCTAAGAATCAGGCAAAACAGTTAAAATCCAAAGGAAAGGGGAATATTGGGAGCTGAAGGCTTAAGTAAAGGGTGGTGAAACCTGGCCTGGCAAGGATAGGTATGAAAGGGATTTGGGTGTCCTTGTCAACCATACGTAAGCTGGAGATAGCAGAGTTATTCAGCTGCTAAAAAAAAAAAAAAGCTATCTAGGATGCATTAACAGGAGCACCAAGTCAGATTATGGGAAGTAATTATTCCACTTTCCTCTACCAAACCACATTTCTCTGAAATAGGGTACCACAGTTCAAAAAGTGCCAAATTGTATAGCAAGTTAGAGCAGTGGTTCCCAAAGTGGGCAGTACCACCCCTGGGGTGAGTGGGATGCCTGAGGGGGGCAGTAAGAGACAAGGGGGCCGGCAGGGGGGCGCTAAGAGGTGGCAGGGGGGCATTCGAGGTGTTGGCCCCACAGGCTCACTGACTGCTGGCCATGCAGCCCATTGATTGTTTCATCGCTCCGTAGCCGGCACCTCGAATAAAGAACCCACGCGCGGTGAGCCTTGCCAAGCCTGGGGGGAGAGATGGGAAGTGGTGGAAAGAGGGCGCTTTAGCTTGCAGGCTGTCCTCTCCAGTGGAAGCGGTGGAGGCATGCCAGAAGGCTTGAAAGCAAAACCCTCCCAAGGCGTGCAGTGGAAGGGGTGGATGATCCGGCGTTAGGGCCCCCTTCCCCGGAGGAGAACAGGGAGTGCGCAGCGCCTGCCTGGCCTCCGCCTCTCCAGCCAGCTGGGCTTGTGCACAGGATGCGGGTGGGTGCAGCTGCGGCTCCCCAAGGCATGTGGCTCAGTTCAGTTCAGCTCTACGTGACTGTCCCGAACCTAGAACCTAGCCTCCTTCTGCAGCCGGGTTCTTCTGACCGAGCCCTGCGCTTGCTTGCTTAGTTTCCAAGCGATTGTTCCCTCCGCCTCCCCTGGTCTGGTCTGC